ACATTTCCCGGGAAAACGGGACTCATTTTGAAATTTCCTGAGATCCCGGGAATTCCCGGATAGAAGTTATTATAAAATTTTAAGAATATAGCAGCTATTTAAATACAATTTCGTATTATTTTTAAGATATTTATAGTTTGATGTAAATAAAAAGTCAATCAAAATTAAAAAAAAGAGGTTAAGAAAGGGAAACGATTTTTTTGTTATTTCTGTAGGAATAGTTTTTATTCCCTACACTATAGTGTGGATTGTATTTGCTAATAAAGTTTGCCGTAGAGTATACCAATCAGCTCCGTCTATATAAACCACCTGGCAAAAAAAAAAAAGTCTGGAAAAAGATATAGTATTTTCATCACAACTAGTAACCCGAAGTGCTTCATATTCGGGTGAAAAACCTATGAATTTTACATTAGCGTATCATTGGAGGGATGTTGTTATTTTTAGAAGGAATAAACATTCGATATTTGTATGTCAGAAATAAACCACATTCTTTCAATGACACGCTTTTGTAAATTTCATTGGTATTTCACAAAAATTTTATGTACTTCGAATATGTTATTTGTAGTGACTTTTCTACATCTCTTTCGTCACTTTTAACTGGGTTTTCATTTGTAAGGAAATATTTGGTTTTTTAATCGCATTTCAGATGTGATTAAGATGTAGTTTGCAAAGTATGACATCAATTATTTTTTAGCTGGGCATGCATATATATTCCCGGGATTTCCTGTCCCGGAAATTCCCGTGAAAAACACTAGATATATGTGACATCAAATCCGATGAAATAACCTAGCCGTCCACTGTTGTGCGCTTCCTTACTAGTACTTCGGGGGGGTCGAACCAACGACCACTGCTCCAATAGATAAGAACACTAACCACAAACCTAACAAAGGCCACACACAAGATCGATTTAACATTTGTGTAATATATTGCAACGCTTATTTCGTCAACTATTTACTCCAATACCATATTTACCATATGCCGTAAATGGGATGCTTTCCTATAAACATTAGGTTGATATTTGAAATAGTGCTTAAGTCAATTATGGACACATCCCTTTTGGATTAACAAAATATAAATTTTTAAAAACAAAATATTTTTATCCAACTTTTAAACCATGAACATATATGGGCGGTCAATCGGTGTTAATTATAAAATTAGGTACAGAGATTTTGGCTTGTTAGAAACTTACTTCAGTATATCAAATTTCATTTCTGAAGGGGGCCTTACATGGAGGGTAGGGTTATTTATGAACCGATCCTCATAAAATTTGGTAGAGAGAATTTGGCTCATATGAAACTTATTTCTGTAAAGCTGTTCGGGGCCACTTGTAGGGGGGCTATGCGAAAACGTGAATCAATATTGCCCATTTTCAATACCAAACAAACCTTACCTTTAAGAAATATTTGTTGAAAATGTAAATTCTCTACCTCTTTTCGGACTCTATCGTGCTTTTAACAGACAGGCGGACGGACGGACATGGCTAGATCTTGGAATTTAATAAGTACCCAGGATATATATACTTTTGTGAGTCTATGATCAATATTTCCATGTGTTACAAATGGAATGACAAAATCAATATCTGGTGGGTTTATAAAAATAATTGTTTTTTTCGTTGTTGCATTCGGTTCACAAACAAATCTAAATATATGTATAACAGGATATTCCAATTTATTTTAAACATTGGAGGGATTTTCTGATTCACAAAATGCCTACTTTAAAGGAGGTTCAGTGAAAACAGCTTTGCATGATCGGTACGATCCTGGAATCGTTATTCGAATACCCAAGTGACTGAACGATAGAACAAAAAACAAGTTTTTAATTGCAAGAATAGTTGCAAAAAATGGTCAAAAATAGAATCAATAATTTTTACTACATGTTCAGGTCATGTAGTAAATATTAGGAACCTTATTAAGATGTCGCAATGGGAATAGTTTCGCTTTCAAAGATCTCGTGAAAACGTAATACTGTAAATTGAATATGATGAATTCTCTGAAAAATTCGCAGAAGAATCAGACGAATGAGGCAAAGACAAAGTCGATAATTTTTACAAAAAGACCAGACCCATTTAGTTAGACAATTAGTTTAATTTTGCATGAAGACACAATGCTGTAAATCGAATAATGTAGCTATTGCATTGGATATCTGGTAAATCAGCGTATAGACTCGATAAAACAAGATTGTTTCGAGACTGACTGAAATTAAGGAGAATACTTATAGGTCTAACATATTTGACGAATGGATGACAAAGTAGCACCTGTAGAATATCAAAAAAGATCTAATACTGTCTTTCCCAGAAAAGGAAAATGGTTTTGGTATTACAGAACATTGATTAGAGTTATTCAAATGTTCACCGATAGTCTAGCTGTGATCAATTCCATGACGCTAAATCAATACAAGTTCAAGAACGCCGGATATCCTTAAACAGTATGAGGAGATATTCAGCTGTTCCTTCGAACACTCTAATGGGCATAGATTACTTTTAGCAAATTCCGCTCAATTGGTTAATAAAATTTCCCAAAAAATATAGAACAACAAGCAAATTTTCTTACTTGCCGTAAAATTTTGGACAATGTTGGACAAAGAACTCACGTCATATCTCCTGCAATTATGTATGTCGCCACTCCATATCTCCCACAATTATGTCGCAACATATGTATTGGTGTTATTACCGGGCATTTTATACTCGGGAAACAAGCAAGAAGACTTGCTTGTGAGTCCGACACTCACAACTAGGCACGAACCAGGTGATATATATCTGAATCTAGAGATTAATTGAAGTAAAACTGCGCTCACTGTTTTTATTTCGTGATGCTGTTTCCTTGTTAAAGAAATTCAAAATTTCAAAGGAGCACATTTGACAAAATTGTTTATAAATACACAGAGGAAAAAATAAATAAACACGCCTGGTACCAAATTGTCACCAAACTGTTTATAATTTTTCAATACAATCCGTTGTCAAAGTATATACGTACGTACGACAACACTATTGACAAACAATCCGTTGCCAGTAGTGAGCTTACCACGTTTGTTAACATTTAGACAACGGATGTGTATAAAATTTAGATTTCGACAACGAATTGTTGCAATGTTGACAACGTTGCAATGTTGACAACGTTGCGTTGTCATTTTATATTACATAGTCTCATATCTCTTATCTTTTTATTATCACGGATCACGCACGAACCAACAGGGAAAGCGTGTGCTTATCTGGAGTCTGGAAACCTAACGTTAAATTTGAAACAAGTCCTAAAACGAATCGATGCCATTTTCTTCTACAAAGGTGAAGACTCAGACGTTATCTAGTCTGATTTAAAAATGTATCACTTACAGATCACCAATTAGATCAGGATTTCAGTATTTTTTGATTTCTTAAATAAATTAACGTATTTGGTTTTCGCTTTAGTACATTTAGCAAAATCCAAATAGTTTTAACTTCGAATTTTGTTAAAATTTTTTGGAATATTACTTTTGCGAAATATTTATTGCTTCTATTCTGAACTGGAATCAAAGATTTAAGAATTGCAAAACTGAAAAAAATTTCATATGACATAATTTTAATGTATTTGACAATATAATTCGGATTACTTATAGTATTAGTTTTTCGATGATTCGTCCTAAAAGAATTTTGTTTAAATTAAAAAATAATTGCATCACATGTTTTTGTTTTATTAAATTTTTATTGTTCTTTTTTTGTTTTGTTTTGGTTTTTGATTAAATTTCTTAAAAACTAATTATATGTTTTTGGGGGATTTTTTTGTTGTTTTAAATTTTTTGTTTTTCTTTTAATTATAATTGATTTGTATACGACTAGACAACTTCTTAAAAACGGTTGTGTGTTTAAGTTATAGAGATATAGATTTTTTTCTTTTTTTTGCTTCAATTATTAAATTTTTTATTTATTCATTTATTTGTTATTGTTAATTTTATTTATTTCTTTATCAATATTTTGTTTTACAATAATATGTATAGATGTTAAGAAGACTATTTTAATTATGATTAGATAATAATAATTAAAAAAAAAATTGTTACAAATTATTGAACAACTAAAGCAAATAAACTAATTGAGTAAAATATGAAAAAAAGAAATTAAATGCATAAACAATTGATGTAATTAAAAATTAAATTTAAATAATTTTTGGTTTAAAATTTGGTTAAATGTATTTTTGTTTTTGGATTTAGCATAATAATATTTACAAAGTTAGTTTTTAAATTGAAAAATAAGAAATTAATAAAAAAAGAAACCTACCAAAAATATTTTTTATTGAAAATTTAAATAATTTAAAGTAGTTATTGTTCTTTTTAAGTATTTTAATAAAATACATTCGTTTTGATGGATCTTAAAACAGAAATCAAAAGAAAATATTTTAATACAAAATTTTGATGAGGATCACTTAGTTATTTTTACATTTACAGTGATTTTTGTTAAAAGATCCATTTTATTTTACTTATTAAATATAAATTACAAATTTGGTTTTTATTATTTATATTAAAAAACTACTCACGATTTTCTTTTTATTAATTTATTATGTTTTTCAGTTTTTTACAAATAACAATTATTAATTATTTTCTTAGATCTTTGCTAAAAATGTTGATTGATTACAACAATTTTCAAAAAAAAAACTTATTAACTAAATTTTTTTTTGTGTGGGTTTTTGTTTTTGATATTTTTTAAAATTTTCTTTGATATTTTTTTAATGAATTTGTAGACGATTTCAATCGATAACATCTTCATCATTGTCATCGACTACATCAGTGTTGTTGCCATTGGAGCCCATTAAACCATTCGAATTACCACCTCCACCATTATTACCATTGACACCGTTGCCAGCCACATCCGAGTGTTGAAGATCATGCGGGGATTTGGTGTCGCCGGCATCGTGATGGTCCATTAGCAAATTGTTATTGTGCAGCAAAGAGTTGTTGTTATTGTGCAAATGTTGTTGAAGATTTGTATTGAGATTGCCACTATTGCTGGAATTATTGCCACCGCCACTGCCGGAGAAATGATGTAAATGGTGTTGATGTTGATTAAGCAGAGCCCCGAGGGCGTTTTCTCAAACAACATCTGTAACACCGGTATATTGACATGCTGAGAGGCCGGCTGAATTGGAACGGGAAACAGGCGAGGGTGCTGAATAGGGACTGGCAAAACCGGTTGTATGCTGTTTAGCCTTCAAGCGTAAGGTGGCAATACTCGACGACATACTCGAGGTCATGCAAGGTTCAGCAGCGGCACGATACATATAAGGATTGGCAGGTGTACTATACGGACATGGAGCAGCTCCCACATTTGTATTTGTCAGTGTACTACCCATCGAACCGGGCAACATGGTATTATTCATACTCACTGCCACGCCACTGGCGCCCGTATTAAAACAGTTGACCGAGTTCTGATGGTGATTTGATGTTACCATCGATCCGAGTGGATTAACGGGCCATGGGAAGGGTTTTGTGCCCAACGGTGAAGGAACTTTAGTCCAATTATTGTAGGTATACGATGAATAGAGAGAATCATCGGCAAATGGTTGCATGAATTGTGTACCAAAACCGGATTTGAAATCAGCAGCCGCTACGGCAGCATTCATGGCATTACGTTCACGTTTACGCCACTTGGCACGACGATTTTTGAACCACACCTAGAAAGAAAGCGAAAAATGGAGATTATTAGTAAGTTTTATGTGTTGATTAAAAAAAGATTAATTAAAGAAGTTAAAAGCTTAAACTATTCAAAGAACTAAAGTTCGATCAATTATCTCTTAATGTAATTATCTGCTTATAAAAAGTAATCAATAAACGTTCGATTTATGCATCTATAGGTTAGTATATAATGTTGTAGTCTGTCAGTAAGGGGTTGTGAGGTTGATTCCCAACAGAAGCTCAGATAAAGACTCGATAGTGGTCCTAGGTATTTCTGTAGTTGTATTTGTTTGTTGCTTTATTTAAGGGAAATGGGTTCAATCTCTAGTCCTAGATTTCTAGACGATACATAGTATCAATAGTTCTGTTGATCTGTTGATCTCTGGCTGATGTCAGAGTGGGCGCTACAAGCGGTGCGAAGCTTTGCGCTGCAAACTTTTGCTTGTGTTTTATCGCATCAAGCTTCGTTTTCACTCTGACATGACACCTAGGAAAACACAAGGAAAGGTTTGTAGCGCAAAGCTTTGCATCACTTGTAGCGCACACTCTGACAACTGCCTAATGTTTGTTCGTAATCGATAAACTTTGGAACTAAGGCACCTGACAGGACAAAATTTTGAATATATGTTCCAGGGATCGTGAAAAGTGTTCCTCTAAATTTTTAGTCAATTACACCTAAACCGCTAAATCGTTTATTTTAATGGGTAATTTGATGGGTATACAGATCTTTACGTATAGAGTCCACATGGCTAATCATGTGCCTGCAACGCGGACTTGGCACTACTAGTAATACAATAAAGCAGGATATATTTAAAAAGTTTTAAATATTTCATTGTAGTTTAATTAAATTTACTACATAAATCTTCTAACACTGATGCTTTGGTTATTTTGTGCATTTATTAATAATTTCTGATAAACTCCAGAGAAATTTTATTTAATTTAAGAAATTATCAAAGCAATTAAGTCAAACAAATTATTTCTATAGAATACAGGTGAGCAGACATAATTTTTGAATTATTTATAAATTTTTCATGATAAATTTTAATCTTGCTTCTGCTATTGTTATTGTTGCTGTTGCTTTAACTCCCATTAAATTTCCCTTTCTTTACTTCTATTCAGAATTTTTTAAATTAAAATAAATATAACCATTTTCTACATTTGTATTCACCCCTCACCCCAACTCCAGCTATAAACAGTACTTATTCAAAAAGAAAAAATCTTAAAAAAAACAATATTTATGTACATGGTTTTGTTTGTTTTGTATTCTACTTAAACGCCATCTTTATTTTGTTGTACTCGTACTTTTTATTTCTGAAATCTCCCCCTCCAACCACTTCTCAAGCCCCACGTAAACAATGTAAAATATAAGACTTATTTTACCCACTTTTAAACCATTTTAAGAGGGGAGTTAAGTAAAAAATACGCATGTGCAGTAATTATTAAATACATAAATATCGTATACGTAGCTAAGTCCGTACAACAATTCTCACATATAAATAAATATATTACGAATATAAATACTTTATAGTACTGACTACACTTGAATATTTTTTTATGTTTTGCCATTGTTGTTTTTATTATTAAGTATTTTACTTTTTTCGTTTTGTGTTTTGTATTCACATTATTATTATATAGTAGCAAATGGTATATAAATACTGTCTGTTTGTCTATATAAATAAGCACGGCAACCCTAAATGAATGTTAAGCCACCCCCACAATAAAAACAATAATGGAAGAATTATAACCTCACATTTGGATATTTGTAAAATAAACAAAAAAAATATACAAATGTACTAATGTATGTATGTAGATTTATACATATATAAATTATTTGTATATAAATCAAATATTTCTTGCTCAGTTTCGTAAACAATTGTAGATGAAGAAAAATGAGCAACAAAAATAATTTATGGCGAAAGTTTTAAACAGTAAAAGAAATAAAGAAAAACATGTCTATAAAAAAGTTATGATTATTAACTTGAAACTAAAACTTTAAGCAAATTTAATAAATTTAAGCATAAAATTTAAGATTTTTTGCCAACATAAACAAAAAAAATCAAAATTTGTCAGGGTTCATATATCACCCATTCATTAGAGCAAAGAAAAAAAGACAAAATTGCCAACGTCATCGATCTCGTCAATTGTCATTTTCACGTATCATTTGCCAACACACAACACAAAGTTGCCATACCATAAAAGCACACACACATACCATACTTCATTTCCTTATGTCAACCATTCTATAATGCAAGAACAAAAAAACTAACGTATGTTTAGCAAAAAAATCTTAATTGGTTTTGATGAAAGCAAACGATGCTGACAAAATATAAAGGGATTTATACAGTTTTTTGTCTTTGCCTCAATTCTCTGTGTTCCTAAACTCACAAGGAAACGCTTCATCAGGTAAAAAACGTTTTCAAGTAACATTTTTTGCAATGTTTAGGTTATGGTACGTTAACTTTCGATTGAATTTGTTTTTTTTAAGTTGAAACAAAAAAAGTTTTGATTGATGATTAATGAAAGTCAAGGGAGTTTTGCTTGTATAAAAGGAGTTGTCAGTTTTTTTACCAGTATCATAACCGGTAAAACAAATGTCAACAAATATTGACTAATAGTTAAATAAAGACTTTTAAAAAGGAAGAATATTGTTGATTTACAGTTTTTTTGCTGGTTTTAGTTTTTGTGACTTTTTGCAACAAATAGACAAATTATTATGATTAATTGGCAATTTGTCTTGTTGAGATTTTTTTGGAATGGAATGGTTTTAATGTGTAAATGCTGTTGAATTGTCATAAGAAAAAGAAGAAGATTGAAAAATAAAGTTTTATTAGAAAACAAAAAGAGACATTTTATAGTTTTATAAGAAATTTGCAAGGTGATTTTATCAAAGTTTTATTTTATAAACTTAAGCTATGTATAAACGGTTGTCAGATCTTACAACGTTGGCAGAAAATTTTTCAGAATATGTCAAACAACAGTGTGAACTTACAATTTTTATCTTGCAACGTTGTCAGAAAAAGCATTGCCAGTACATTGTAAGACAATAATATTGTCAGACATCTAACAATCGTGTAAACACATTACTTTGCCACTTCCAGATAATTGTCTGACAATTTTTATTGTCAGATGTTCGAATTTTATACATCGGCAATGAAACAATTGTCAGATAAATGTTTTTTATTGGCAACACGGTGCATTAAAAGAACATATGCAGCTAAAATAAGTTGTGACAACTTTTGCTTTACAACAATCTGACAACAACGTGAACTGACAATTTTTGTTGGACAATTGTCCTGCAATGAATTTGTAAGGCTTTCTTACAACTGTCTAAACTGACAATTTACCAGTTGATAACCATTTTCTATTGTCAGTACATTGCCAGATCTGCCAACGTTGTAAGATCTGACAACCGTATACATAGCATTACTATATCATTACGTATACAACAGTTGGTTAATATTTTAAGACATTTAAATTGTTAATTTTAGAAAACTTTTTTAAATCCTCGAAGATCGGGCAGTATTAAGGCAGTAAATTTGTTTGGCAAGGAGTCTTGAGTCTTATTTTTTAAAATAATTTTAATTTTGTTTAATTTTGACTTAACTACTATTAGCTTCAATAATAAACATACAATTTGTGACAAATTCAATGTAAAATCGAAAATGCACAGATTGCGAGGCTTTTGAACGTTTATATGAAACCCCTTATTATACATTTTCCCACTAAGTAATACAATTCCTCGTCTTTCTAATTGAGTTGTCATCCAAAACATTCTCATGACTTAATTCTTCTTACGCAAAAAATAGCAAGAGTAGCAATTTAATGCTAATTTAATACACATTAAAATTAATTTAGTTAGCTACACTTGTTACATAAATTTCACCAACAATAAATACTAGTTTCCCATAAAAACAAATATTTACTTAAATTTTCTCACACTAAATGAAAGATAAATAAAATTATCAGGGAACCCTAGTCTACTAAAACAAAGATGCCACCTTAAAAGCAAATATACAAAATATACGTTCGTAATTAACCGTTACTTAGGCGCGTGTTACCATTTAGTTATGCCTGGTAAAACTCCCCTATAAAACTAACCAGAAATTTTAGAATTTTATAATAAACTAATAGTAAAATTCAACCCTAGATCTAAATTTTTGGCACATAAAGATTACACATGTAAACTGCATACACCCAACAATGTTTATAACAAGAAATCAAAGTGTAAAATTTTTAATTTACCGGTTTTAACAATAATAAAAGGCACATGTTATTGGCCATTAAAGAGCATAACTTCAAAATTCCCAGGATATTTGGGAATTACAAAGAAAAAAAAACACAACAAACAAATAGACAAATTGATTTAAATTTAAAATAACAATAATACAAAGCAAACAAATATCATTATTTTTTTCAGTTTATATAAAAAAATCTACATTTTTTTCGATAGAGTCTTTTCAATTCCATTAAACTTAATTCAAACTAATCCCCCAAATATGTGACCATATACTACCACTAATAACAAACTAAAAGAGACCAAAAGGAATCAAACAAAACAAAGCAAATATATAGAAACAAAAAATAATAAAAAATATCATGTTCATATTCTCGCGACAACCATTAATGGCTGACTTTATGGATTTTTTTTTAAAACCCCCACAATACCAACATCAAAATCCATATCAATGATGTGGTCCATTCATATATGTATGGATGTATAAATGTATTTACAGAATATTTAGGTTTTTCTTGTTTTTTTGCCATTCACATTCGTTGGGTTTGTTAAAATACACAAAACGAGCATTTAATGGTTATTTTTTTGTCAAAGCGATAAATATGAATGTGCTTTACAGACAATTGGCAACACCTGTCGCCATATTTAGACATAAAAACAAAAACACAGTGTTGTATAAAGGTGCGTTTAATGGGTACGGTCATGTAGTGAGTAGAGAATACAATGACTATAGAAGGAATTGAAAATATGTATATAAAATGTTAAAAA